TGGGGACGGAGGACTGTCAGGCACAGTCCTGAGGACCGAGGCCAGAAGCACCGCCCTGCCTCCACCAGAAAGCAGGAATGAAGTCCCTGCCTTGGGGCCCTAGAAGCCTTGGCACCTTCCCGTCCCAGCACTTGCGTGTCTCTGTGCCCCTTCTTTATGACTAGGTCACGTCCCCCGGTGCTCGCAGGTGGCAGAAACCCGGCCTGTGGTGTAATGGGAGCCTCAGGGCCTAGCACCGGGCCTGAACTACAGACGGTGGCTCCCTTCCCTACCAGCTTCGTGAGCAGGGGTGCAAGTGAAGCAGAAAGTGTCCCGGACACCTGTGAGCGCTAAGGACACCTGCGAGCGCTAAGGACACCTGCGAGCGCTAAGGACACCTGCGAGCGCTAAGGACACATGCGAGTGCTAAGGACACCTGCAAGTGCTAAGGACACCTGCGAGCGCTAAGGACACCTGCGAGTGCTAAGGACACCTGCGAGCGCTAAGGACACATGCGAGCGTTAAGGACACATGCGAGCGTTAAGGACGATGCTAAAGGTGAGCAGGAGCCGCCCTGAAGTCCAGGAGCTCAGACACCGCGGGGTGAGCGCCAGGTCAGTGGCTCCCGCTTAGCTTCTTCACCCTTTACTGCTGTTCCCCCGCTTCCTGCGGCTCTTACTCCCCCCCCCCATGGCCTCCAGTGCCTGACCTTGCCAGGGCCCGTGACTGCCTGGCTTGGGGGAACCCAGATCCCACCGACTGGGGCACCGCCTGGAGGTGTGGGCCCACTTCTCTCCCCAGTGCGAGTGCAAAGCAGTGGCTCTCGGCCCCGGTTCCTCCTGAAGCACAGCAGCCTGTAGTCTTATCACCACCGGCTATGGCCAAGGCTGCACACAGCGACCCCGCCAACTGTCACCAACCAAATAAAGGGCGTCTGGTTTCAGCATTCTTCCCCATTTTGGTCTATATGGTGCCAAAGGAAATAAACTTATTTTCCAGAATTCAGACAGTTAGGAAGCTCAGATAACCAACATTTTTATTTTTTGCTACAGTCTGCATTTGTGGGGTGGGGTGGGGTGGGGAGAAGTCAAAACTGCTGAGAACAGGAATTTAACTATAAAAAGCAACAGATACAGCAGTCAAACCCAATCACACACGGTCACCACCAGGACTGTATGTCAGTACAGGAGCTCAGGCCTCTGACTCCCATGAGGGCAAGGTCTCCACAATAACCTGAGAACTTCGAGAGTCTTCTGATTAATTAGAAGGAGCTAGTAATCCATAGACGATATATGTAGTCATCTGGGTTATAAACAAGTCATTCACCTAAACCATTTCTAACCATCTGGCTGACGTGGAAGGGGAGGGGGTGATAAATGTTCTGTTTTCCACTGTTGGATTTCTGTGGTGAAACCCTGTAAACCAAGCCTTGGCTTCAGCCTGCCCCTCTCTTCTTGGTAGCACAGAAACCTTAGTTTGAGAATAATTCTGTGCCTCCTGGGAAATGGAAGGCAAATGGTCTCGGAATCCAAAGTGCTGGTTGGTGTCCTAACTCAGCTGTTTATTACCAGGGTAATCTTGAGAAACTCACTTTATTTCTCTAAGTCTCAGTTTATTTATCTGTCAAGTGGCATAATAATGACATTTGCTCTCAAAGAGTGATTTTAGGATGAGATGAGGAATGTTAATATACTTTGTAAACTGCTAAACCTTGTGCAAATGTTAGAAATGAGTTCTACTGTCATAATAATCCATATATTCCTCTCTCAGGTGCTCCCAGTGAACCAACAATAAACAACCCACATTTCAAAGCCCACCTCAAGATCAAATCTATGCAAGGAACCCATTAAGCTGCATACTTAATGGGTATACATCATGATATATAAATTATACCCTAATTTTAAACATGGAAAACGTGCTTAATGCTTATAAATAGTTTCACACAATAGACGCTCTATGCAGAAGTCTATCCTGGGTGTGCATGCCCGGGGATATTTTGTAGGTAACTCTCTTCAGGACGAGGTCCATTTTACTATTTTAGCCACTAAGCTTCCTGGGCGGGGTGGGTCTTGGACCCTCCACCCTGATCTTAAGTGAGGTTCCCTGGCCTACAGTACAGTGCCACAGTGCAGTTCCAGGATGCCGCTCTCTTCAGTTAGGTACCAGTCCTTCTGGATTTACAGTCATATGTTACCAATTGCCATGAGTGGACAAGTGCCTGAAAAATCAGATAAGTCTGGTGACATCCATGTGTCCCAATCACAACCACATCTAGACCAGACCACAAATTCTCAGAATTAAAAAAAAATCAGAATGTTAGAGGTATAGGAAACGTAAAGAAAACCTTATGTTACATCAATAATCTTATTTACAAAAAAAGAAACTAAGGATCTAAGTAGTATGACTTGCCCAGAACAACCCAGCAAAAGTATGGAGGTGCTAGAGCTGAGTTTTCATTCTATTTCTTGTAGGCACACACCCACATCTTTGGGACTCTGGGTATCACCCTTTTTCCCTGAATACACAAGACATTATACAGGGCACTGCAGAAGTTTCCAGGATTTCCAGTTATGAAGGCCAAACTGAAATGTTACGACATCTGCCCTATTTTTAAGGCAATTTCTCAACATAAAAGCCAATGCCAATTATTCAGCAGTTAGCTCATTTAATGAAGCTTCTGAAGAGCAACTGTGATCTTGGAGCTTAACTACATGAGCTGAAAAGGAGGGAAAGGCATTTTCTATTTCAGGAATGTGTGATTGGACATATCACGGAATTAAGGTTCTATCTTGGCTCTTTTACTAAGCTAGCTGTTTAACTTTAGCCAAATCTCTCTGAACCACTGATTTAGATAGTCTCCTAGCTTTTCCCCATTTCTGACAATCTTTGATTTTACCTTTTAAAATGTCTGTCTAGGTCATCACCACCAGCTACATTCATGAAACACAGTCATATGTACACTGCCTAGCTGAGCACAAGACAAAAATAGGATGAGACAAGAGACGTGCCTACCGGGAATCTATCATTATTATGACCATCATCATTAATGTGGGAAGATGAGGCAAGGACACAGGATCCTACTAAGACCTGTCATTAAACTACAAGCCTTCCTTAAACTCGCTCTTCTGGGAAAAAGCTCCTTCCCCACCCAGGCAGAAGTTTCAATGAGAAAGTCCACTGTTAATCTGGTGCTAACAGACTCAATATAACAAAGTAAGTTTGTATAACAAATATGATATCTGGCCCCTGGTCATGTAATGCTCTATGTATAATTTAAAACACAGCCCTGATCCTATGTTTGCATAAATGGGCAAGGAAGCACAAAACAAGCTGAGTTAAAACTGGGTTCCTCACAACTGTGTCATCCCACAGAGTAATAATTCTCCAAATCTTTCGCCTCTCTTGACTTTAAGTGTTCCAAATGTTTCAAAAATCTGATTATCTTAACAAATAGTTCACAAGCGTTTAGTTTATGCAAGGTGCTGAAAGTGGAGTACAGGGGAGCGAGACACTGTCCCTGTCTACACGGACCTTACATTCTAACGGAGGTCTCAGATAAGCATTCGGATCGCTCTACTGCAAAAGTAGCAGAAGGGAAGAAAATATATTCTGTTGGTGAAATCATGGATGGGTGTAAGGAGCAGGTGGTATTTGAGGTGAGACTTGGAGGGTAAACAAGATTTTGATCTGTAGGGGTGGAGAGTAACAGGGCATTTTTGGCAGAGAGATGATCATAAACGAAAGCACAGAACAGAAAGAAGCATGTTTAGGGCACCAGAAGTAATTGAGGTCCTCTGGAGAGCTGTCTGGGGGCAGGGAGGAGAGGAGAGGAATGACATTCTATAAACTCTTCAATATGAGAATGAAGTGTTTGTACTCAGTAATATAACAATGGAGACTAATAAAGGTTTATGGAAGAGGGGAGTAAAATAATAGAATTATAGAAAATTTGAACTCAAGCTCCCTCCACCTCCATTTTACAGACAAGAGAGTCAGAGCAAGAACCAAGAGAGCTTGCCAGATTCCTAATCCAAGTTCTTCACATTATTCCATCTGTTTTACAAGGCTACCCTGGTAGCAGTGTGCAGGGTGGAGAAGAGCGAATTCAGGCAGGAGATGGATGTGGCAGCTATTACAGAAGTCCAGGAGAAAAGTTCGGGTGGGCTAACCAGGACCTGAGCTTCAGGGATGGGTGGATGAAGGAGAGGTTGGGGTTTGGGTAATCCCTGAAGTCTCCCTTCCCTCTCCTCCACAGAGTTCAGGGTAGTAATTTTTCATTCACTTCAGAGAGGTGGGGCATTTGATTTGATTCACTGGCAGATCCAGAAAGCAAGGAGTCAACTGGTCCATCTTCGTTGTGACTATGAACTCTTAGCACTCCCAACTCCCTTTCAATACTGTGCATTCTCTAGAAAAAAAAGAGGCCAGAAACCACGCCAGCAGTGACCAGCAGCAGCCCTGGAACTGTTCCTTCAAGGGGTCCGTAGATGATTTTAGGATTCAGGCAACTCTGAGGGTTTCTTTCTGGTTTTGCTAAGGGTGCCCAGGCATGCCATGGCCCAAAGCTAATTTGCAAATAAGGGTCATTCAGCCCACAGGAGTGCTTCCCCAAGGGCTCTGGCCCATGTGGGATGTCAGCTGCAGAGGGGTTCCCTTAGTGTTGCTCCCTCAGATGCCTGTCTCTGGTTCACCAACCTCATCTCAGGTCTCCTGCTTTGTCCCTTGCCCTGACCTTCAGCTCCTCTCCTCTGTGACTTCTCACTTGAATAGTTTTATCAACTTAGAGCTGGGATGTCATGAGTCTGAGTATGTTTAACACAGACATAGATGTGGCAAAGCTTGATAGTAGGTGTGAATGCTGAGTTTCTAGCTGTGCAGAATTTTAAGGCAGCAGTCCACTTTTTCCCTTCAACATGGCTTTTAGTTTGTAACAATTTATTAAGACAGAACCAAGAAAGAAATCATGAGGCGTAGCTTCTATTATAAAGACAGAATATCAACCCAACAGATTATTTTCTCACCAGAGGAACGATTACACATAGTAGGCACCCAATAAGGAAGGGCAGTCATCAGTGGCATCTTTTGATTCATGTCTTGGTCAGTTCTTCTTTCTCATGAACTAAGAGGAGAACCATCATCAAGGCCAGCTGATTTCAACTGACCTTGTGGACCAAAGTCAGCTTTCACTTTCCACTATAACCTGTGCCCAAAGGTGCTTTGTTTCCCTTCCCCCAGACCCCTCCTACAGGGCAGGAGCACACCGACATCTCAAGCTCTGTGCAAGAGACTCAACTGGACTTCACTACAGAGAACATCTTTAAGAGTCCTTCTGTAGTTATGGAAGGTGGTTTCATGAGCAGTCTGTGGAGGCAGGCAAACTATATTCAAATCCCATCTCTGCTAATTATGCGCTTATGGCCCTGAGCAAGTTATCTGACCTCTTTCTACCTTGCTTTCTTCATCTGTAAAATGGGGGTAATAGAGTTGGCATAAAAATAAGTGAGTTAACAAGATAGTACATATAAAGTGCTTAGCATAAGTACTTAGGGAATTCCAGCTCTTTTTAATAAGGCAGCTCTGATGTTTGAGTCTGCTGAGCATCTTGTGACTGACAGCCCAGGGGTAGAGGTCAGTAAAGGTGACAAAGGTGCTCTCTAGATATGCCAGCTGTGCCCAGGAGCAGTATTGCAATACTTGGCCAATGTCTAAAGAGCTCAGAAAATAGTGGCTCCTCGCCTGCCGTACTTGAGCAATAGTTTTGGCTGGTCCACCTCCTTAGCCCTCTCACCTGGCCTAGACAGGCATGCATATGGCCTAGTTAGTTTGTAAGTTTTCAAAAAAACAAAAAAACACACAAAAGAGTGAGATAGGGAGCTTTCTAGAGCACTATCTCAGAGTGACTTTAGTGCCTCTTCACTTTTATTTGGAGGTTTTTCTAGACACCAGGCCTGTCAAACTCCTGCTGTTTCAGGCTGTTTAGGCTGTCAGACACACGAGGGACTTAGGAACCATCCAGTGGTCCTGTTTTGGAGCTAAGGAAACTGAAGCCCTGGGTAGTGAACAATTAGATTGTCCATGGTCATCAAGCTCATCAGTTCAAAACCAGGGCTAGTTCCCTGGTGGCCTGGTGACCAGGTGGCGCTCATTCTACCGCAGCAGGGTGGCCCTTTGGCTTTCTGAATTCCGGCTCACGTTTGGTCCTGTCTGCAGGTGAAACCCCCACTCTGCTCACCCATTTCTCCATCTCAGCTTCCTGCCCGCTCTCCCTGCCCCTGGCATCTGGGATGTCCAGTGCCCCTCTCTCAGCTCTTGGTGCACACACCCTTGATGTGTACTGTCCTGCCTGGTCCTGCAAACCCGCCTGCTGCCAGCCCCGGACTGGGTCGTAGGGCCTCACAGGCCGCAGGAACCCTGCCTGGGTGACAAAGGGGCCCAGGAGGGCTCTTCTCTTTGCCCGCAACCTGTTTCTCTGTCCCTTCCACTCCATTTCCGCCGTCTTCCGCCCGCCCTCGCTGCCCAGCCTCCGTCTTGCTCTTCGGCTTCATGTTCCATCCTCCGCTGTCCTGCCCAGTCCTGGCCCTCGCCCCTCTTCTGCCCCTGGGCGGTTTCCGAGTTTGCACCGTCCTGTTCTCTGGGGCTCTGCCTTTCTCC